AGAGCAGAGCGAAAGCCCTGCTAATTACAAAAGTTGCTTTATGAAAGATAATTCAAAGCAATAATTTAGCAAACATAATCAAGTAGCGCAGATGGGGATTTTGATGAATAGTTTGCAACATGCAATTAGCAGCTCTTGCAGTTACATATCATTAACCCTCAGAGCACAAAAATTATTTTCTCATTATTAGATGAAAAGGTAAAATTAAGCTGACTAGACAGTAAAGGAACAAACTACAATTAATTACCTTCATTTATTACAGTCATTATTTTAAACTTATTTTTTTTTATTCTGATAGATAGATGAAAACATCTAAATTAAAAGTTTTGTTCTGCTAAGTGGGAGGTGAAACTTTGTGATGCTCGGGGTACGGGGCCAGCCTGGCTCCATCCCAGCTCCATCCCAAATCCAGGGATCGGTGGGAACCCCCTCATCACTCCCCATCATCCAAGGATGCAGAGCCTGAGCATCCCTGCCTGTATCCCACACCAACCTGGACCACTGCTGTCAGCCACATGGAGAATTTTGCCTGTTTTTGCAGGAAAATACTTTTCCACGAGCATAATTTTCCAGGAAAATATTTTTCATGGGAAATAATTATGGGGGGCTTGCAAGAAATCCAGCCTTGCTGAGAATTAACCTGCTCAGGCAGCACCTTCTCCTGGTGATGGTCAGGAATCAGGCTGTTCCTCCTTGGGTTGGATGCTGAAAACTTTGATTTCGGGATTTGTGTTGGTGGCAGATGGTTCGGAGCTGCCAACTGTCAGCAAATGCACTAAAAAAATAAATTCAGGGAAAAAAAGAATGGAGGGGAGAAAAAAAAAAAAAAAAAAAGATGAAGGAAAGAACCAGCTCGAACAGTCAGTGAAAAAAAACATGGATTAAGTTACGGTGGGGAGGGTGGATAAGCTTGAAATATTTTCCCTGTTGTTGATGTGGGGGCTCAGCCCAAGAAATCTTGTGGTGCATGGGAAGGAAAGAGCTTGGGCACCTTCTCCCCCCCCAAAAAAAGGGGAAAAAATAACATAATGAACGGAATATTCTCTGTCTCTGCTCTCAAGAACTTTGCCGAAACATGGTTGAACTTGTCAGGCAATATTACAACAAAATTAAGAACCAGCAGCAATTTTCTCTCATTCGGGATCCCGCTCTTTATAAAGTAAATTATTAATGCATTTTTTTCCTCCGTTAAGCAGTTATTTGCAGCAGTCTTGGTGTATTTCTCATTAGAAATAATATCATCTAAAGAACTTATATTGATTCTTCTTTCCCCCCCCCCTTTTCTTTTTTTTAATCTCCGAATCATGGACGTGAACAACATATTTCTGTGATGTTCCCTTTAACTAGAATTCTCAGGCTTTATTTTTATATTATTGATCTTTTTGACACGAATTGCTTTTTGGCCTTGTGAAAATCGTGGGAGCTGCTCCTGCCTTTGGAGGAGTTTGGGGGAAGGGGTTGTGCTGTGGGGTCGGGGTGGGTGTGATGGGTTTGGGGGGACGTGCAGTGGGTTTTTGGGGGGGTTGTGATGGGTCTGTGGATGAGTGTGAGGGGTTTGTGTGTGTCTGGGATGGATCTGAGGGGGTGTGGGATGGATCTGTGGGTGCACAACGGCTCTGTGCACGAGTGTGGTGGATTTAAGGAGGCACCAAAGGACCCCAACACGTGTCTGGTTCCTCGTGGTGGTCCAGCCCCATCACCCAGAGCTCTCCCAGGAGAGTTCCTCCTTCCCAATCTCCCCCTCCCTCACCACCCTCTCTCTCCCCCACAACTTCTTTACACATCAGCACAAAAAAAAAAACAAACCACACACCCAAGGAAAATAGCAAAGGCTTGAATTAATTTTTTTCCATCACTTTTCTTCAACATTTGGGGTCTCTGCTGCCGCTTTCTCCCCCCAACAGCTGTTCCTCCAGGCTGAAAAAAGAGCTCATTTGTGGTTTACTGCCACCAGTATTTAGATGGAAATAACCCACTACTTATCCTGCACTTGATCTCGTGGATGTAAGAATAAACTCTCTGCCGGTGCGATGCAAATCCCGCGCCTCTGGAGCGGGGATGCTCAGACGCTCCGACCGCGCTGGGAGGAGAACCGGCTGCGCCGGGGGAGTTTTACCATTTTGTCAGTCAATTATAATAATATTTCTGCTTCCAAATGTTTAAAAAGTTGGCTTCGGAAGGTATAATCATGGCACAGAGGCCAGCCTGACAATAGTAATTAATTAGGCTATTACGCATTCTGCAGTGATAATTGCTTTGCTGGAAAGTCACCAGCCATGAAAAGGACCCGGCGCGTAAATGTAATTTATCAGACGGCGGCGATCCCGTGCCGCTGCCGCGGCTCACCTTGAGCCCACGGGTGCTGGGGAGGGAGATGGAAGGGGAAAAAATGGGAATTAGGAGTACCTGGATGTTTAATGCAGAGGCAGAACTCGCTCAGAGCCGGCGCTGAGAGCTCTGCAGGTGGGCAGAGGGTTTGTGTCGCTGATGGGCATCGTGGTGATGGGGAGAATGGGGATGGTGCCACCCTGATCCCACTGAACCAGGAACATTCAGCTCCTCCATTTGTAGCCACTTTCTCCTCTTTTTAGCATGTTTTCTGACGTTGCCTTCTTGGATGTGGATGCAGGGTTTGGTTCTGCCTCAAGAAAGTGAGGATTTATGTGTTTTAATTATAAGGTCTTGATTTTAGGGCTGGTGTGGGCTTTTCCCAGGTATTTATTCAGCTCGGTGTGAGGAATTACAGCAGTTTCTGTGTTGGGTGAGCCATCCCCTCAGAGCTGCTCCAGCAGGAATCTCCCCTGGCATTTGAGTAAATTATCCCCCATCCGGAAAAGATCACTGAAAATGTTAAATATCTTTTTTCTACTGACATTTCCTAGAAGTTTAGTGGGACTCTGGAAGAGCCAAGTGGGTCACCTGGCTCACCATCCTGCCAGTTGCCCACACTGGTGGTGCCCTGGCACCAACATGAGCCGGAATGTGCTGGAGCCCAGCAAGGGGGATGCTGAAGGCTCCTTCCCACCCCACAGCAGGGGTGCTCAGACCTCCACAGGGATCGCTGAGGAGAGGGAAAGCATTGGAAAATGCTTTGTCTCTAAAACGTGACTCGAGGAATAAAATGCAATGAAAACCAGCTTGATTTGGAGTCTGGGCCAGCTCTTTGCCCCTGGAGTGGGTTAGGGATGCACAGAGCCCGGCACGGGTGATGGAGAGGGAATGGAGAGGGAATGGAGAACATTTGGGCTGCTGGATCCTTGCACCCTTTGGTTGATGCCAGCTCAGGGGAGATGAAGCTCTGGGGCAGGTCCAGGCATCCCCATGGCCCCGTGTCTGCTCCTGCTCCCCTCCTGTGCATTCCAAAGGGTTTGGGAATGGGGCTGATGCCACGAGCAGCCCAGCACCGCTGTGTCCCCACATCCCTGCGGATCAGGGCTCACCCCACCAGCAGATTCAGCGGGTACAGCGCTGTCCTGCTCCAGCACACGGGCAGTGCCAGCTCCTGGCTGCCTCCTCCCTCCTTTCCCCTCTTCACTATTATTATTTTAAAGCACCCTGAAGCCAAGCATTTTTGCAGAACGCTGAAGAAAAGCCCCCAAATTCCTCCTCTGCTGGAACTGCAGTGCTGAGAAAGTAGGTTTGTGTACGAGCCGCTATAAAAAGCCTGGCTTATACAATTTTAACAATAGAAAAATGATCTTTGTGCTCCAGTGCCTGCGAGCTCCGGAGGAGAAGGCGGCTTGCTCAGGTGGCTGCTGGATTACAAATGAGCCTTTTGCTTTGGGTTGGAATGACAAGCGACGGCAATCCGGGCTGCCGGGGTGAGCCAGGAGCTCTGCTGGCACAGAGGAGGGAAAAATGCTCCTGTGTGGGAGCTGCCACCAGACTGAGGCCCAAAGTTCAGGCTTGGTCTCATAATTAGCCCATTGGTGGCTTAAGAGCAATTTAATTGATTATTTCCCTGTCACAACAGTGTGTCTGCTGGGTGGGCACCTTTTCCTCCATCGCTGGCTGGTGTGAGTGCCCAGTTTGGCTCTAGCAGGAGGTTTTCCAGCTGGGAATGGGTCACTTCCATCCCTGATGCCTGTGCCCTCGTGTCCCTCTGGTGCCCCATCCAGGTGGGGCTGGATGGGAGGGGTTACCAAGGGGACCTGGTGGGCAGCAGCCCCTGCCCCGAGGTGTCACTGTGTCTTGAAAAATAAAAGGGATTAAATGATTAATGCTCATGAATGTTGGATGGGATCACACAGCAGATGAATGTTGGGTTATTGGGATGGGGCTGGTGTGTCACCAGCACTCCAGTACCCCAACAGCCAAGGGGGACAGGGACAGGAGGACATGTCCTAGTCCTGGTGTAAGCATCGCTTCCACCCCCAGCACCATCCTGGGAGGGCGGCTGGGGAAGGCCGTGCGCCCGACCCGGCCCGGCAGGCACAACAACGGGCAGGCTTCTTTATTTCTTATTTAAGCGCCGACATTAAATTATAATTTTCATTTACTCAGAGCACATCAATGATTTAGGGCGACGTGACATGGCAGCGGCGCGAGGAGTTTAGCCAAAGGCAGCGAGCGGCTGCGCGGGACACGGAGCCGTGCCGGGGGGACCCGTGTGCCGGCTTTGGTGGCGCCCATCCTGCTGGCTCGGCCTGTTCCTCCCTCCCAAGCCCATCCCTGACCCCTTTATCCCTCTCCCCGCAGGTGATTGCACTTAGTAAGAGAAGCAAGGAGGCTGAGACGGCTTTCCTGAGCGTTTACAAGCAATTGCTCGAAGCTCCAGGTAAGCAGCGCGGTGGCGACCTGGCTGCCTAACGAGTCGCGTGCCGGTGCCCAGAGGAGCCAGCGAGGACCGCGGCGCCATCCCCGGCACGGCTGGCACCATCCCCGGCACGGCTGGCACCATCCCTGGCACAGCTGGCACCATCCCTGGCACGGCTGGCACCATCCCTGGCACGGCTGGCACTGTCCCCGGCACGGCTGGCGTCGCCGACCGCGGCCGGCGCATGGTGCTCTGGAGATCCCAGCCGAAGAGAGGAGAAGAAGCAGCTTTTGCCATCGCCGTGTTTCAGCCCCTGAGCCAAATGCATCTTGACATTAGGAAAGGAATACATTTGCTCAGCCCGTGTAGTAACACTGCGGCTATTCCCACTTGTCTGTTTGACGGTAAGTTGACTGAAACGGCCGAGCGCCGGCTCGCGGCACGAGCCGTGGGGACATCCTTCCTCTGTCACCTGCACCGTCCTGGGAGGGGGAAACTGAGGCACGGGGCAGCCCTGAGGTTTGTGTTGGCAGAGCTGGTCACAGTGAGGGGCTTAGAGCCCCCTCCCGCTGCTCCCCACTTCTGGGGGTTCATGTGCGCCAGGCACGGAGCGGCCCCCGGCACATCGGGGACTGGGAGCTGCAAACGGCTGAAGATGCGCAGAAAGGCTCCTGCAGGGCCACTAATTCATTTTCCAGACATTTAGGAATAACAAAATGTTTTAATGATTTCTTAGGGGAATTAGGGAGACATATTTTTGTCCTCATTAAATTTTCTCCTGTGCTACGAGAACCAAATGTCAGCTTGGTTTCCAGAACCCAGTTATCTTCCCTCCCCACCTCCCCACACTCACCCGCCGGCTCCTCCCGCCTGCACATGGATGCACACACATGCACGCCCCAAAACTGCTTCCCTGTGCTCTCTGCACTCCTCCTTCTCTTCTCCTCTCTCTGTTTTTCCACAGCATCATCTCTTGCTCCCCTCCTGCTCCCCAAATCCTCCCTCCCGCGGTTCGTCCCCGTCTGTTCCGTGTCCACATGTCTCTCGACAGGCGAACTCTTTGTGGAATACTTTCCAAGCACCACATAAGTCCTGATTCGACATTTTTTGCTTTGAATGGCTGCTGTCAACACAAATCTCTGGCAGAGACTGTAACGGAGCCTGATTGCTCAGCAAGTATTTTGATAAGTGAGCTGGCTGTGTGTCTGTAATTACGGGAGAAAACCGTAAATCTTTTGGATATTGTTCACACAGATGTGGCGTGAAGGGAAGGGGGGGAAGCAGTAAAATGTGTTAAAAGCATAATTAATGTCATTGTTGTTGGGGATGATTTGATTTAAGGCTGACTTTGACTGGTGGAGGGATTGGTAGGGTGCTGGTGGATGTGTTTGAGCAGGTTGGGATGGGGTGGCAGAGGAGAGGCCGTGGAGAGGTGACAATGCTAGGAGGTACTGTGGGTGTCCCGTGGGTGCCCCACAGGTGACCTGTGCTCCTCCTGGAGCAGGGCAGCAGCGGCACAGAACGTGGGCTGGGTAGAATGGCCCTCCCACCGGGATTAGCTGGTGATCCCCAGGGATACAGGTGCTCCCTGGAGCTGTGTCTGCTCAGGAGAAGGTGAGGAGTGCTCAGAACTGCCCCCGTCCCTGTTGGTGAGCACCCAAAGGAGGGCCATGGAGATGGTGAAGGCTCTGGAGGAGGAGGAGGAGCCATGTGAGGAGCAGCTGGGGGCACTTGGTTTGTTCAGCCTGGAGGAGACTGAGTGGAGCCCTCATCCCAATCCACAGCATCCTCACGAGGTGCAGCGCAGGGGCAGCTCTGATCTGTGCTCTCTGTGACAGGGACAGGAGCCAGGGAATGCCTGGAACTGTGTCAGGGGGGTTTAGGTTGGAGATCAGGGAAAGGTTCAGCCCCCAGAGGGTGCTGGCACTACCCAGGCTCCCCAGGGAATGGGCACAGCCCCGAGGCTGCCAGAGCTGCAGGACCTTTTGGACACCCACAGGGTGGGATTGCTGGGATTGCCTGTGCAGGGCCAGGGGTTGGAGTCCTGGATCCTTGTGGTCCCTTCCAGCTCAGGATAGTTCAAGATTCTGTGCTCCTGCTGCAGCACGGCCGGTGCCACTAAAGGATGGCCAATGACGCCAGCTAGTGGTGGCACTTTTACATGTATTTATTTATAATTAATATATTTAAATGTCCCTCTAGTGGGTGATGGAGTGATAGATCAGGGTGCCAGGGCTGGGACACCCTGCTCCCCAGGGGAGCTGGGGGTGTGGGTGATGCTGCACCACGGCCCCAGAGCGTGCGGTGCCCTCGGGTCCCGGTCAGGCACACGCGTCCCTCACGTCGCCGTCACCCGCCTGTTGTCAGGTCTGACCTGTCCCAGTGGAGGGTGTGATCCATGGAGAGAGGGACTACACCCCAATATCCCACATGTAGTGCCAGAGCCGGCCCCACAGCCAGGGATGGCGTTTCCCATGGATGGGCAGTGTGACATTAGCTCAGTGTAGTTATTCCAGCTGGGAATTTGGCATCTGCTGCCCTGGCTGTCGCAAAGATTCGCTCTTCCCTTCCCAAAACCCTGCTCCCACCATTCCATCCCAGGTTGGCAGCTCCAAACAAGGAACAGCACACGAGGGCATCACCCCAGCTGTATCTCACCAGCAGGGCTGCAGCTCATGGGAAGGAAAATGCTGACCTGTGGAAAATCCTTGGTGCTTTATCGCTCAGACCCATTTTTCCCATATTATTTCTCATCTTGGAGGCAGGAGGAGTTGCTGGTGTGGATCAAACAGGGCCTGTCCCAGCATTTATCTCTATGGAGACAGCTCACAGGCCGGCACGGAGCCTCCTGCCAGCACCCCCGGGGCTGGGGAGCGCAGGGGGGATCCCGGCAGCCCCCGGAGTGCAGGGTTTAATTACCCATGTCCTTATCTGGGTGTTATTAATGGCTGTGGGAGCATCCAGGCTGGTTGGGGCCGTGCTGCATCGCTGCCATCCCACACCCTTGGGTGGGGAACCAGCCTGTGGGACGCTGAGCTGAGACACACCAGGAGCTGAAGGATGCTGTGAGCATCCCGGGAGGGTCCCAGCTGGAGCTGAGTCCATGTGCCAGTGCCAAAGCTGACAGCGCTCAGCATCTGCCTCTGGATCCTCGTGGCCAGAATCCCAGCACAAACCCCTTGTTCCCTTTTTCACGGGGTTTTTGGGATGTCCCAAAAATGAATGGATAAGAAAAAGAATGAAGGGATAAGGTTTCCTGTGCAGGAGGCTGCTCCAGGGGCTTTTGGTCTGGCAGTCACTAATCCCATGGGAATGCTGTGGGGTGGCAGGGCAGCAGTGGGGCAGACAGACCCCAAATCCCATTTGGGGGATGTCTTGGAATTTCTCATTTGCAAGGAGCATCCCTGTGGGCACGGACCAAATCTTCCATCTTTTGGGCAGGTTCACCCCAAAGTCACCTAGCGCTGTGTTTGACCCCCAAATCCCATGACATGGCCTCCTTCATCCCACACCGTTCCATCTCAGCCAGGGAATTGCCCGGCAGCAGAGCTCTCTGTGTCCCGTTCTGAGTGGAGGCAGCCGGTTGCTGGAATTTTTTTCCATGGCTGTTATTATCTTTCACCCTTGGATGCCTGCCACGTGTCCCTGCCGTACGGTAGCATGCCCAACTCCATCCCACTTCCCTGTTTGCCTAACTTCTTGACCCTGGAGAATTCAAATCTATTTTCTTTCCTCTTCTTTTCTACCAAAAAAAAAACCCCAACAACAAAAAAAACCCCAAACCTATATTAACCTGGCTCAATAGGAGGCATTTTCTTGAACTTATTAAAAAATCCAGACTTGTAAATTAATTTGTTCATGTTGTACAATGGCAGTGCAGATGGACTCATTAGCATGCACACAACAAATAATTATAGATGAATTTTTAGCTGGCCTGCTTAATGGGCTTGCTGGGTTAATTATGTCAATGTATAATTACATCAGCCCTGGGAGACATAATGGCACACCCCGCTGAGCAGACACTAGCTAATGATGGTGTAATGCTGACAGAGGGAAGACGGACGGCTCCGGATGCACCTGCTTACCTCGGCACAAACCTCCATTGTCTGCGCCCAAACCGGCCCTGCCGGAGCCGCCGGTGCCGCTGGTGCCACCGGCTCGTGCCGGGAGGTGATGGCCCCCAGCCCCCTGCCCGTCCCTCTGTGCCTCGGGGCTGGCAGGGAAAGGCAGGACGCCAGGGATATCGCCATGGCTCCTGGAATGGCAGGACTTGGTGTGTCCCCATGGCTCCTGGAATTGCAGGACTCCAGATATCCCCATGGCTCCTGGAATGGCAGGACTCAGGGGTGCCCCCGCAGCTCCTAGAAAGGCAGAACTCAGGGATGTCCTCATGGCTTCTGGAATGGCAGGACCCAGGATGTCCCCACTGCTGCTAGAAAAGCAGAACTCGGTGTGTCCCCATGGCTCCTAGAAAGGCAGGATTCTGGATATCCCCATGGCTCCCGGAATGGCAGGACCCAGGATGTCCCCATGGCTCCTGGAATTGCAGGACTCGGCGTGTCCCCATGGCTTTGGGAAAGGCAGGACTCAGGGATGTCCCCATGGCATGGGGAGGTGGGAGAGGGCCTGTGAGGGCCATTCCTGCTGCTCACCGCCCATCCCACGCCCCGCAGACGCCGCTCCTGTGCTGGAGGCTGCCCGGAGCCTGGAGGATCGGCTGCAGCAGCTCCAGCGCCTCGAGCCCGAGCCGCCGCCCCTGAAGGATCTCAGCCGGCCCTGGAAGAAGCACCCGGAGCTCGGCAGCACCAAAGGTACCAAAGGGAGGGTGGTGGCAGCGGGGCTGCCTCCTCTGAGCATCCCTGGGATGCGGGGTGTGCCCAGGGCCAGGAGCCGCCCCCTGGCCACCGCTGCTGTCCCCTCCGCAGCCGTGTGACTGTGTCCCCCCGCAGAGCGCAGGGAGGGGAAGCCGCCCGCAGCCGAGCCCCCGCTCCCCGGCCTCGACGGCAAAGCGCCGAGCACAGAAACCTCGCTGCAGAGAAATGAGGCAGACAAGCAAAAGTACGTGAGTGCCGGGAATGGGCTCGTTTTGGGGCGCTGTGGGGACAGGTGGCTCTGTCCCCGCTCCCGCACGGGGGTGTCTGTCCATCCCCCTTCTCCATCCCTTTGCTGTCCGGGTGGGAGCGGCTACATCCTGCTCAGAAACCTGACAGCGCCTCAGAAGCTCCCGGTGTCCGTCTGTCTGTCCATCCCCAGTCCCAGGCGGTTCTGGGGAAGCAGCAGGCACGGGCAGAGCCGGCACAGGCCCCTCCTGTTGTCCCCTTGCGCTGTCTCCCTGGCACGTGGCTTTGCTTGGACAAATGGATTGAATCCAGGGCGCTGGATGAACCTCATTAGATGACCTTTTAATTTGGAGGCTCCCAGCCTTCTCGGTGCCCTCGTTGTTATTCCTTAACACGCTGCACCGGGAAACAAATGAAGAATCTTTAAACCCTAAATTGCAGATCTCTGCGAGTAAGTTCCTGGCAAGTGCAGGCTATAAATAATGCAGAATAACTTTTCCCTGATTGCTTCCCCCTCCTCCAGTTAATTACAGGTGGGGGTGGGCTGCCATAACCCCCTCAGAGGGGTTTCAGCCTCAGGGATCAGAGACCCTTTTCAACCCAAAGTGAGTTTTTTTTACACTTCGGGCAATAAGCCCCTTAACACTGGGGGGCATCCATAACATCCTGCTGTCCACTGGTGGGTGTCACTTCAGTGAGTGATGGGGCAGAGGAGGGGATGCTGTGAGGGGTGATTTTGGGGGGCTGTGGGGTTGGCACACGGTGCTCCTGGTACATCCCTGGTGCCCGTCTCTCGCAGGGGCCTGCAGGAAGCTCAGGTCACCTTGGCCGCTCGGCTGGGGGAGGCAGAGGAGAAGATCAAAGTGCTCCACGCAGGTAGTGGGGCTGGGACAGGGGCTGCTGAGCGTGGAGGGCCAAGCCCCCACCCCACAGCTCACCCTCCTCTTCCTCTTGCCAGCGCTGAAGGCCACCCAGACAGAGCTGCTGGAGCTGCGCTGTAAATACGACGAGGAAGCGGCGTCCAAGTAAGTTCCCAGCAGGGCTGGGCTGTGCTCAGAGCTGAGCTGAGCCACTTTTGGCAGCACTGGGACATCTCCGTGCTGCTACTTGAGGAACTGAGACACTTCAAGCCACTGCAGGAACATCCTGGGCCGTGGTGTCACCGAAACTGAGGGAAAACCAGAAACTCCCCAACAGCATCTTTTAAGTGTTGGAGAGCCAAGGCATTATTTTATTCTGGCTGGGATGTACAACAGAAATTATTTCATCCATGCTTGCCCGGGTTGTGCAGTGAAAATCATTCAATCACACATCGTTCTTTACCAGACTTTTTATACATAAAAACCCCACAGAAATTAAAGTTCTTTGGTCTCAAGTGACACAGTCCTTAGTATTTGATCCCCTATTGGTTATTAATCAATTAGCCTTGGATGTTAATTGGGTGTTCATCCTTTGGTTCTCTTATCAATCTATTCCCAGACCAGGTGTCTCCGACCCACCAGGGGGGAAATGTTTGTTAATATTTGCTTATCCCCTCTTTATCTCCTGGCTACTCCCAATTCTTCCCCACTTCTCTTTTGAAGAAATAATTCAATTCCCCCACCCCTGGGCAGGGGCAAACAAGCCTCTGACTAAAGTTACAACAAAATTTTGAAAGCTGTATCATTTCCAGCAGCGGGGTCCTTATCCCTAAGCCTCATTCCCACATTCTGGGCTGTGTCTGTGCCTCCACACCTGCTGACACCTCTCGTTTTCTGTCACAGGGCAGACGAAGTCGCCATGATCATGACCAACCTTGAAAAAGCCAACCAGGTGAGCCAGGAGCTGATTTTGGAGGAGCTGGCGGGGTTGGTCCTGCAGAACCCTGGGGTGCTGCATGCACCCCGAGCGTCTGTGTGGTCTGGATGTCTGTCCCCAGAATTGATAAGGGGTTGACAGGCACCAGGATTGGGAATCCCTACGAAAGAGAGCTCAGGTTTCCTCCCCCTGGTGGGAGCCCCCACCCCATGTGTGGGGTCAAGGGTGTGTTTGGGATTCTGCCAGGCTCCATTTGGCTCCTGGAGCTGGCACTTGTCACCTCCAGCCTCTCACGGGTGTTTTAAGGCACAACCCACACTGTTCCTGTGTTAGATTCCGGTGTAATTGCTCTTGGTCCTGTCCATTCCTCTTAATTAGTTTTATTTAATTCTGAAAATGTAGGTACAAATAAATGCATGTGGATAATAAAAGAGGTCTAAAGAACAATTTGTATAAATAAAACCTTCCTTTTGGGTGGAAAAAACCCCAGTGTCCTGGAGATGGTCTGCAGCCAGTGTCCAAGGACTGGGATCAGGAACCGTGTTAGGACATGGGGACCTTAAATACACAGGGGGAGCTTGAATATCTGGGCTGGGCTTATGATGCTGGAGATGAGAGTGGGATGCTCAGGAGAGGCACAGGTTGGGGCAGATCCTGGACCCTGTGTGGGGTGGGATGAGCCGCAGTGCCTGCTCTGATTCCTGTTCTGTTCTCCGGCAGCGGGCGGAGGCGGCGCAGAGGGAAGTGGAGAGTTTGCGGGAGCAGCTGGCAGCCGTCAACAGCTCCCTGCGCCTGGCCTGCTGCTCCCCGACGGGCACCACGGGGGTGAGAGCATCCCCGGGGCCAGGAGCACCCCTCGGGGCCAGGAGCATCCTTTGGGGCCAGGAACATCCCTGGGGTCAGGACCATCCCTGGGGCCAGCAGCACCCCACTGCAGCTGGCAGCATCTGCCACAGCCAGGAGCATCCCATTGCACTTGGGAGCACCCCACTGATGCAGGAGCAGCTTTTTGTGTTTGGAAGCACCCACCGTGTTGGGGAGCAAGCCCAAAATGCCCAAGGAGTTTTCCCACCCTGAGGTGGTGGTGCTGGCTGTGCCATTCAGCCTCCCATGGAGAAGGGGACATGCACCCCCACAGCACCGAAACGCACCTGGGAGACCTTTAAGGGCAGAAGGAAGGTCTGTTCCTCCCCAGGGCTCTGTCACCAGGATCCCCTGGGCTCACCTATGCTATGGGGACATGTCCCGTGGGGAGGGGGGCCCTTGTCCCCACGTGGGGCAGGCGGGAGCTGACAGTGTCCCCTCTCCCAGCAGGACAAAGTGAACTATTCCATGTGCTCAGGGTCGAGGTTGGAGGCAGCTCTGGCTGCCAAGGACCGGGAGATCCTCCGGCTCCTGAAGGACGTCCAGCACCTCCAGAGCTCGCTGCAGGAGCTGGAGGAGTCCTCTGCCAACCAGATCGCCGAGCTGGAGGGGCAGCTGGCCGCCAAGAACGAGGCCATCGAGGTGCGCCCGCGGGGGCTTGGGGCGTGCCAGGGGCGGGGGCCGAGTGTCCACAGGGACCCGGCTGCAAGGCCTCCCCTCCTTTGCTCCACAGAAGCTGGAGGAGAAGCTGCAGGCTCAGGCAGACTACGAGGAGATCAAAACGGAGCTGAGGTATGGCTTGAGCGGTGCCCATGGCAGCACTGCCGGTATCCCCGCTGGCCAGGTGCCACCGTGACACTCACCTTGTCTCCCTCCCAGCATCCTGAAGGCGATGAAGGTGGCCTCTGCCGGCTGCAGCCTCCCCCAGGCAAGTGCCACGGCGCGTCCCGAGGCGCTGGCCGGGCTGTGCCAGCCCTGCCGACGGTGCCTCCGCCGCCTGTCCCCATCTCGGCTTGGCTCCTTGCAGAGCATCTCGAAGGCGGAGGAGGCCCTGCTGCTGGGGAAGGAGGCTTTCTACCCCTCCCAGAAGTACCTGCTGGAGAAGCCCAGCCTGCTGGCCAGCACTGGTAGGGACCCTGGATTCTGCAGCATCCCCCACTGGGAATATCCATGGGAATGTGGGTGGCGGGGATGGATCCTGCCCTGGCTGTGGTGGGGTGAGGGAAGGACAGGGATGTCACCCGGGGAAACTGAGGCAGGAGCTGTTTGGCTGCAGGGCTGTGCTGGAGCCGTGGCCAGGGGGACTCTAGTGTGTCTCCTTCTCTCTCCTTCATCTCTAGAGGAGGATCACTCCGAAGACGAGTCGGGGAAGGACCCATTGGGCATGGAGCAGCCTTACCCATCCCCTCACCACGCCCCGGCCGATGACCCCTCGTCCCCCACGCCCCTCCCGCCGCTGCCTGGCCCCGGCATGGCCCCCGACGGTCCCCGGACTTTCTCGCTGTCCCCCTTCCCGGGGGGCGAGCGGCTTTCAGGGGACCCCAAGGCCCCCCACCTCCCGCTGCCCAGCTACAAGAGCGAGAGCAGCGGTGGGGGACCGCCCTTCCCCTCCTCCTTCTTCGGGGCCAAAAGCAGCACCGTGCACCCCGTGCCGGCCGCCAGTGCCACCAGCCCGCCCGGAGAGCCCTCCGAGGGCAGCGCCGGCAGCTCCGCCGAGGAGGAGCAGCTGGACACGGCCGAAATCGCCTTCCAGGTGAAGGAGCAGCTGCTGAAGCACAACATCGGGCAGAGGGTCTTCGGGCACTACGTGCTGGGGCTGTCGCAGGGCTCCGTCAGCGAGATCCTGGCGAGGCCCAAGCCCTGGCACAAGCTGACGGTGAAGGGCAAGGAGCCGTTCATCAAGATGAAGCAGTTCCTCTCCGACGAGCAGAACGTGCTGGCCCTGAGGACTATCCAGGTGCGCCAGAGAGGTGAGTGGTTGGGGTGGCCCTGGTCCTGCCCCGGGGTGCTGCAAACGATGCCCCTCCCAGTGCACCCCAGTTCACCCTGGCAGCACCCTGGGGTGCCCCGTGCCGTGGCAGGGGGCTCACCAGGCCGTGATGTGCTGGCGAGATGGGCTGGGACGCTGGTCCCACCAGGACTTTTTCCCTGGTGGGATGAGCCCTGGAAAACGGCAGCAATTAACAACAACCCATGGCTGTGGAAGCTGCATCCCCTGACGTGCTTTACTCATTTATTCTGACAAGTGCCATTTAATTATTCATTAGGCTGTTCCGTGCCGTATGAATCAATGTGCTTGGGAATATTTCATTAAAATAATGAAGTTTTAGTGCTGCGGAACCTCGGCGTGGTGCTGGCACCGCCGTGGGATGGTGACTCCCATCTCTGGGGACAGCAGCTGCATCTCAGCAGCAGCAGCAGGTCACTCGAGTCCCTGTGGTGGCACCAGGACTGGACAGTGCACACCCGTGGTCCATGCACCTGCTGGTTTCAGCCTGGAGGGCTCTGATTTATCCCCTGGATCTGATCCATCATTGACACTTCTCCTGCACAGCCAGGAGGGCGCAGTGCCAGGGATGGGGACATGGTCCCTGTGCCCGTGCCTCCGCTCTTGGTGGGGAGAAGGTGCCCTTGGTTGGGATGAGTAGGTTGGTGGGAGAAGCTGTGCCAGAGGCAGGAGCTGGCAGCCAGGGCTACCAGGGCTCCCCGTGCTCCGGTAGCGACTAATCGGGAGTGACATTTGTCTTCAAACCGGCATCCCTAAAAATAACCGAACATGAGGAGCAGTAAATACTTCCTGACATACAAGTGGAGCTTGTAAAACCAGCGCCGGTGACAAAGCTGTTATCCTGCCTCTTTGATCAGGTAGCATCACGCCGAGGATCAGGACACCGGAGACCGGCTCTGACGACGCCATCAAAAGCATCCTGGAGCAGGCAAAAAAGGAGATTGAGTCGCAGAAGGGAGGTAGGTGCTGCCATGGGGGTGGCTGAGTCCCTGCTCTGCCGGATGGCAGCAGCACCCAAAGGGGTGCCAGTGGCTGGGTGCTCTGTGGCTGCAGGTTTTGTCCCAGAAATGGGCTTTTTTTATGGTGTTTCACCCATTGACATCCATGGGGAATTTTAGGGCTCGCTGGAAAGAAATACCATGTGGGATGGGAGAGTCCCCGTGCAGCAGAGTTCAGATCTGGGCTTTCAGAAACTTTGGATGCACTCTTTTTCCTCCCCCCTGCCCCAAACCAGATGATTAAATGAGTATTCAGAATCCATCTGGCATGAGGAATCATTAAAGCAGCTGCTCTCGCAGTCAATTACAAGAAATGAAATACATTAAAACAGGTAGTCTGCTGAGAAAGCAGAATCCTGGAGAATTAAATTAGATGGGAACGGTGGAAAAACAGACAGGGAAAATAAACATGTTTGTCTATCGCATTGTTGGTAATGGGATTTATTTTGCAATCATCAAAAAAGAAGTTGGCTTTGAGTTGGGCTGTTGAAGCTTTTGCTTTGTGGGTGCTGCTGGTCCAAACCAGATGGGGATAAACCCCTCTTCTCCCACACTTTGAATTGCGGCCACACAATAAACCACACGTTCCGCTCCCTGGGGCTGCCCTCACCCCTTTTCTCCGCAGGGGAGCCCAAAACGCCGTCAGCATCGCAGGCAGCGGCCAACGGGGCGGGCGGCAGCAGCTCAGAGGACGCCATCAAGAGCATCCTGGAGCAGGCACGGCGGGAGATGCAGGCGCAGCAGCAGGCGCTGCTGGACATGGAGTCGGGGGCCAGCGGGCGCAGCGGCGATGCTGCACCCGCCGAGCGCTCCACGCTGGCCACCGTCAGCCAGAACATCGCCCCGGCCCACGTCAAGCAGGAGGAGGGCAGCGGGGCCAGCCCCGGCCCGCCGCAGACGCCCCTGGCCGTGCTCTCCCCTGCCGCCTTTGTCCAGAGCATCATCCGGAAGGTGAAGTCGGAGATCGGCGACGCCGGCTCCTACTTTGACCAGCACTGGGCGTCGGAGCGGAGCCTGCTCAGCCGGCCCTACACCTCCGTGTCGCCTTCGCTGTCCTCCTCCTCCTCGAGCTACTCCAGCATGGCCAACGGCCGGGGCTGGCAGCGGGGAGAGCCCGGCGAGGGCAGCACCAACGAGGACGAGCTGCAGCCGGCGGACGAGGAGCCCCACCGGCTGTCGGAGATGAAGGCGGAGGGAGCCGGAGCGGAGCCGGCGGCTGGTGGGCGTCTGCCCTACTACCCCACGTACGTGCCACGGACCCTGAAGCCAACGGTGCCACCACTGACGCCGGAGCAGTACGAGATGTACATGTACAGGGAGGTGGACACGCTGGAGCTGACCCGGCAGGTCAAGGAGAAGTTGGCCAAGAACGGCATCTGCCAGAGGATCTTCGGAGAGAAGGTACCAGCCTGGAAAAGGGGGGTCTGGTGTCCTCTCTGCTCCGTGACTCAGAGCCTGGGCCTCATTGATGGCCTTCAGCAGCTCCTTCCAGAGTCCTCCCTGGTCTGTTCCCCCTGGGAGGATTCTGAGTCCTCAGGGTCTGACCCAACCCCAGTCTCCCAGTGGCCACCACTCATCCCACCAGGAATGCCCAGTCCCCTGAGCGGAGCCCTTTGGGGACCGGCTTCCCACCCCACTGGGTATCCCAGGAGGACCCGCCACCAGCACCCATGGCAGGGGACAGAGGGTCCAGACATGCTGTGGGGCAGTGGGTGGCAGTGGGTGGCATCCTGCTCCCCCTCCCCTGACACGGGGGTGGAGGGCAGGCAGCTTCCCAGCACCGGGGGGAGCGCACCCCACCTTCGGCAGGTGACACCTGCGTGGTGCCCAGGTGCTGGGACTGTCCCAGGGCAGCGTGAGTGACATGCTGTCGCGGCCCAAACCATGGAGCAAGCTGACACAGAAGGGTCGGGAGCCTTTCATCCGCATGCAGCTCTGGCTGACGGACCAGCTGGGCCAGGGGATCAGCCAGCAGCCCACACCCTCCCAGGGTAAGTGACATCACTGTCCCCGTGGTCCCCATGTGCCATCAGTGTCCCCATCACTTCTGTCCCCACCATTCCCTGCATCCCAGTGGGTTTGTCCTGCTCCCACCCCAGCACTTGGAAGAGATGTCTCTGCCAACTCCAACACCAGCACCCAGATCCTGTGAAGCCGCTTTCATCCCCAACCCGCTTCATTTAAAACAAAAATAAAAAGAAAGCCACATCAAAAATCTTGGGCTTCACGCCTGGCATAAAGCAGTAACTGGATTTTTTGTATCATATTGGTGGCATTTTCTCGCTTTAATTATTCCTCCACCACCACGTCCCGCTTTCCCGTAGCCACTGGAGAAGCTCGGCTTCTCTCTTGGGGTTCCTCTTCTCTAGCATAGGCATCCCCCAAATTCCCCTCCTGTGCCAGCTGGCTCCCTGCACTGTCCCCTCCCGCTGACCCCTCTGCCCTGGTGTCACACAGCCAGCCCTGCGGAACCCCAGCCGTCCCCCTCGCCGCCCCCCAGCCCCGCCGAGCACGAGAAGGGCTGCCAGGAGCCCCTCACCCTGGCTTTGGAGAGCAGCAAGGAGAACCAGCAGCCCGAGAGCCGCTCGGCGCCTGCGCTGGGCGGGAAGGCATATCCCAACAGCCAGGGGCCTGTGGGCATCCAGGAGATCGTGGCCATGTCCCCCGAGCTGGACACCTACTCCATCACCAAGAAGGTCAAGGAGGTCTTGACGGACAACAACTTAGGTGCGGACCCTCTCTCTGCCCAGGTTTTTTGGGAGCTGCTGGTGAGACTGCATGGATCCAGCACCCCAATTCTTGTAGATGCGACCCCCTCCCAGATGTTTTTCTGTGGGTGCTCGTGGGAATTCCAGGATGATGCTGGCTGGGAAACGGGGTGCACCTGCTTTGCAGGGGGACTGCGGCACCCGTCCCGCTGCTCCACCCCCTCAAACCACCTCTGCTTCTCCTCCCCCAGGCCAGCGGCTGTTTGGGGAGAGCATCCTGGGCCTGACGCAGGGCTCGGTGTCCGATCTCCTCTCCAGGCCCAAGCCGTGGCACAAGCTGAGCCTGAAGGGGAGGGAGCCCTTCGTCCGGATGCAGCTCTGGCTCAACGACCCCCACAACGTGGAGAAGCTGCGTGACATGAAGAAGCTGGAGAAGAAGGGTGAGGGATGGGGTGGCACGGCCCCGCTGGGTGTGGGCTGCTGGCCAAGGGGGGCGTCCCAGGCCGGGGAGGGCGAGCGGTGCCAGCTGGGTGTCCTCTCCTGCAGCCTACCTGAAGCGCCGCTACGGGCTGATGAGCACCGGCTCGGACAGCGAGTCCCCCAGCGCCCGCTCCGAGTGCGCCAGCCCCAGCGCACCGCCGCAAGACCTCAGCCTGCTCCAGATCAAGAAGCCGCGGGTGGTGCTGGCGCCAGAGGAGAAGGAAGCCCTAAAGAAAGCCTACCAGCTGGAGCCATACCCCTCCCAGCAGACCATCGAGCTGCTCTCCTTCCAGCTCAACCTCAAGACCAACACCGTCATCAACTGGTTCCACAACTACAGGTATGGGCGCTCCCGGGCTTTTGGGGGTCTGATGGTGCTGAGCCACAGAGGGGGTGACACTGTTCCCCTTCCAGCCTTCCCCGTCACTCTTCCCTAGATGGGAGGTGCAGACCCATTGGAGGTCCCCAGGTGCACCCCAGGCCAGTGGGTGGCCTTGGCTACCTTGCCCAAGTTGTGTTGAGCATCTAAAGAGGTTTCCATGCTCACATCCACCTCCTCACTCCAAGGTGGGACCTCTGTCAAGTGGGAGGGAATGCCTTACGGAGGCTCCTGGAGCACAGGATCCATCCCCACAGCAGCCCAGCCCTGGGGAGCAGCACAGGTTTCATCCCTAGGTGGGATCATGGCTGGCAATTTTTCCGCTGGCTGGAGACGTGTGGTGGCCATGGCACGGTGGTTGTTGCCACCCCTCCGCGGTCGCGTCCCACAGGTCACGGATGCGCCGAGAGATGCTGGTGGAGGGCGCGCAGGACAATGACACAGACCCGGAGCAGAGTGGTGGGACAGCCATCCCCGGGCGCCGGGCCCCCCACAGCCCCGATTCGGACACCGAGGATCACAAACCCGTGTTCGTGGGGGGCGAGCCCCCCTGTGCCGCCGTGCCCGTGAAGGTGAAGGAGGAGCAGGGGGATCCGGGTGGCTGGAGCCGCCGGCGGGACTCACGCAGCCCGGCCGGAGCGGCCGAAGGGACCGGACCTCCCCAGGAGGAGCGGGGGGCAGCCCCCCACGCCGCCGCCCCCGCCGCCGGCATCCTCCCGCGGCGGGGAGGCCGAGCCGGTGCCACCGCCGGGGGACCCCCACCGCCGCCACCGCCGCATCCCGACAGCTCCCAGTCCTCCGCGGGGTCATCCCGTTGCAGCTTGGTGGTCTCCCCGACATCGCCCTCGGCAGCTTCCTCGCCCGGCCTCACCGGCTCAGCCTCACCAGGACCATCCTCCGCCGGGCCGGTCTCGCCGGCGCTTCCACCGGCTCCTGGCCCCCGGCTCAGCACCAGCGTCCAGCGGCGCCACGAGAAGATGGCCAACCTCAACAACATCATCCACCGCCTGGAGCGGGCTGCCAACCGTGAGGAGGCCCTCGAGTGGGAGTTCTGAGCCCCCCCGCCACCCTAAATATATATATACACCCCCACACATATATATATATTTTGATAAATGCAGTGTGCACCGAGAGGTGACGAGTGGCCGGTGCCACAGAAGAGGAGTGCCCGTGGAAAAGAGGGAACACCCCTCTATGAAGCCGCCCCCACCCCTCTGGCTTTGTTTTAAATGTGAAAAACTGGGAACAATTTTAGAAAAGAAAAACAAACAAAAAAAAAATATTTATAGACCTCTTTTAGATATTTTAATAAAAGGATACTTTGGAATTTATTAACAGCTTAAGCTGCTTTGATATTAAAGATAGCTATAAAATCAAGATGATGTAGCAGTCGTGTCATTAAATGTACACTGAAGTCTTGTAGTTTGCCACTGGATGAGATTAAAAACAAATAAACAAAAATAACCCCAAACAAACAAACAAACAAAAAAAAAACCCACAGAAAAGACTTTTTTGAGCAAAGCCATCAAGAAGCACTATGAGACTGACCAAATTTAAGAAACTTTTGCAGTTTCCACCCCTGTCTGTAAGACACTGCATCGCTTCTGCCCCAGCCAGAGACTGCATCCTAGTCCCTGAAGACTCTAAAGCCCCTGACACCATCGAGTATGTATTTAGTTCTGGTGTTTTATGTTTTTGGAAGCCTTTGTAACACAGAATGTCCCGTGCGGTTGTATATGTTGTAGAAATGTCTGCAATAGCCTTCTGGAACAAGATGTAGCATGGTCCCAACGCCGTCCCTCGCGCTTCCTCCAGCCGGCGGCTCGTGCCAGCTCCCAAAGGAAGAGAGAAAAGGAGGCAAAAGCAAAGAAAGCAACCTGAGCTTGGGATTTTGGGAGTGGGATGGGAAAATGTACCTGGGTGTGGTGCTTGAGGATGGTACCAGCTCGCTGGGGATGGACATCCGAGGCATCCTGGTTCCCCGTCCATTCAGGAGAGAAAAAGATGAAGCCTCTGAGCTTTGGCCCTGGGGCAGCAGTGCTTGAGGTGAGTGCCCAAAAATCGTGAGCCACACACTTGCAGGCTGAGCCCTGCTTGGGGCTTCTCCAGCATCACAGCCAGCTCTTGGGGCTGAAGCACTTTTTTAGGGAGAGCGCCTGGGCAGGAGGAGAATCCCACTTCCCCAGGTGGTGGATGTCAGTGATGGCAGGATGAGCTTTGGGATGTCACATCACCCTGAACTGGGCACCACTGAGCTTTGGCTTCCCAGGGCTGACCCTGTGCAGACACAGGAGCTCTGTGGTGGCCCCATCCCGGTGTGCTCCTCGTCACCTCCCTGACCCCACCACCTCCAGCCAGCCTCTGCTAACGAAATGCCTTTAAACCGTGTGGAGTGTCCCACGCTGGGCTGCTCTGCCCTGTCCCCTGCCCACACAGCATCAGCCATCGCCCACCAAGGCCCTGCCAAGCTCCCAGGCGATGCAATGACTGATTTTCCACTGTAGATGTTTTTATCAGAATAGAAGGTATTTTTATACTCGGGTGGTAGTGGGTGAGCAATGGGTGAGTGCACAGCTCTCCCTGGCTGCCTCCCCTGCCCTGGCGAGCCCCAGGGTGCCCAGGGCTGCTCTGCCACCGTGCTGTGGAAGGAGGAGGTGTGACCACTGACTGCCTTCTCCGTTGCGTGCTAGAGGGAGCTTTAGTGGAACAGGATTTGAGGAAGCACTTAGGATAATCCTGAGCGCGGCAATCCTGTTGTGTGAAAGCCAGCGGGACACACCGGTCACGTTTTTGTTAGGCTCATGTTCTGTACTTCAAAAGTTTCTATGAGATCGATGAACTTTGTTTAACAATTTTGAAAGGAACAAGTTCTGTAAAGAGCCACTAAATACAGAAGTTGGATACGACTCTGGCCTTGGGGTGTGTTTTGTCCAGAGGTGATGGAATGGGAATTCCTCTCACATTTGCCCGGTGCCTGGTGTTGGAAGTCACAACTTTGCTTTGGGGTTGTGGCAAGAGCTCTCATTATCCCGGTGACAGGGGGAAAAAAGAGAGGGTGTTCAATGGGATCAGCCCAGCTCACAGTGTGATCCTGCCCCATGAAATTCCTGTGCTCATCCCTGCTGCAGGTTTGCTCCTGCCCCTGGGGTAGCTCAGCACCCTCCAGCGCAACTTTCAGCTTGGTTTATCATAAAATCATCGTTTCCTGGATTGGATTGGGTTAGAAGAGACCTTAAGGATCATCTTATTCCATTGCCCTGCCACGGGCAGGGACATCTCCCATTAGACCAGGCTGCCCAAAGCCCTGTCCAACCTGGCACTGCTCCTCAGCACAGTTCCTGCTCGGAGCCGACCGTTGCTGGGCGAGTCAGCAGCTTCTGACACGAGGCAGGGATGTTAGTGTCTGATGAATTAATAAATCCATATGTTGCATATCTGTTTAAGCTTGTTTGTCAGCTAACACGTTGAGGAGGACTTATTTCTGATGGGTATCTGAACGTCTGGAGAAGCTGGGCCAGCTGCCATGGAAACCAGAATCTTCCCCTGCGGCGAAGGACGGAGCCGTGTGAACCATCTGGGTGCTCCGGGTGCAGCTGCACCCCGGCTGCCCTCGGCACTGCTCCAAATGCCAAATTCCACAGGGGGACACCGTGCCTGGCCAGGAGCAGGCTCCACGCTCTGCAGGGCTCTCGGCGAGTGGGTGACCCTGGCTGGCTTCGTGCCTCGGTTTCCCCAGGAAGTGATTGCACAGCCTCTGCCGTGTTGAAGAGAAGCTGGAGGCATCCATGCGGGTGGGGATGTGTGGGCAGGGACATGGGGATGTGCTGGTCACTTTCACAAGGGCAGAGTCCCTGGTCCCTGTGAAGGAGGGACAGGTATTTTGTCCTGGTTAAGAGCTGCCCCTGTCAAGGGACCACTCTGGCACGGGGTGTCCTGATGTTCCCAGGGTGGCTCCATCCCATCTCACCCCATCCCTGCAGATATGGGGCTCCAGGGCACTGCAAGACCCTGGCATTGGCCATGTCCCCTTCGGGTGACACAGCCCCACAGACATGGTGGGGACAGGAGGAGGACTAAAATAAAGCATTAATTCCCACCTGGACCCCCCTCCCCAGGGGCACAAACAAGGACCATGGATGGGAGGGAAATTCTGAAACAACTTTTATTGTAGGAAAATCTTGTGTCTGTCCCAAGGGAGCAAAGGGAGCTGGAGCCACCCAGCCCTAAGCCAGGGTACCCTGACTGCTCCCCCCTGCTCCAGGGTGGGTCACCCCACCTCTGGGCCAGCAGTTTGACTGTCCGTGGTGGAAATAAGAGAGAAACACAGGCATGAGGCACCAGCTCGGCACATGAATCATTCCTCACGCTCTGCTGCTGACACACACATTCCCATTTGCCACCACAAGCGATGCTTCCCCTTAGTGAGCTGGCATGGGGATGATGTGCTGTCCCAAAACACCCACCAGCAAGGCAGTGCCTGCAGCTGCTGCATTCCCCCGGGGTCTGACCACCCCCACATTGACCATCCAGGCTGCGAGCAGCAATTGCTCCCTGTGTAACACCCGGGGCTGGGTGTCACCAGCTCCCCAGAGCGCACAGAGCTGCTGCTGCCATTAAGGAAGGGCTGCACTCACTGATATTTTAGTTTCAAACCACATCCTGCTGGAGCAGAGGGATCTGGCAGAGCTCGGCCAACCTCAGTGTTGTGCTGGGCCAGGAAGGGAAGTCAGCAGCAGGCTCTCCATTGTGGAACACCCACACGGGCACTCAGGCAGGCGAGGTCCCACCAAAATCCTCCTCCAAAAGTTGTCAAGGAGTGATTCCACTTCAAGAGCATCAAGAGGCCCCAGCAGAGCCAGAGCAGTGGTGGATTCCCAGGAGGCCTCAGTCAGTGAGCGGTCTGTAGTTTGCTTGTGCTGACTGCAGCGCCCCACCCGCACATGGGGGCACGGCCGGAGGGCACCCCTGTGCTGCCCATTTCACCGTCACAGAGCAGCACTGCTGTCCCTCGGTGCCGAGCCCTCGATGGCAGCACGTGTCCATCACTGCCACCACAGCCAGCTCTGCACATCCCGAGGCGAGGAGGGGACGGGGCCAGCACCAGGGGCGACCACCTCCACCCTGCCCCGGTTCCCGGCAGCTTCCCAGGGCTCAGCCACCGCTCAGAGCCGCGGGCCACGCTGCCTCTGCTGCCAGTCCTGCCGCAGCCGGGCCACCTCCCGGCCGTACTGCTGGTGGAGCCGGCAGAAGGTGGACGGGCTCTGTGCCACGGCCGGCCCGGCGCTCGCCGCCTCGCCGTTCCCCACCCGCCTGCGCGGCGGCAGCGGCGGGGGGCGC